AGGTCCTCAAGAATGATGAACGTTACTTAAAATTCATAAGCCGCTCGATTTGTGATGTATTTTTATACCTTCTGGTCATATTTCCAAGCTTTTCTCTAGCTACTAGAATGCAGAAACCTTTTCTTTTACAATTTATATATACACACACAAATAAATGTACACACATAAAAAGAAAAAGTAAACCTAATCAGAGGATTGCAGGAGCCTTAAGACAGACATCAACAATTACAAGACTTGGAACAAATGTACAGCTGTTGTTTGCTTATTAATTAACTACATCCAGTTGTTTTGAAGACTGCATCCAGAGTTTAACAGCACACTAGACAACAGCTTAAGGCAGAGACAAGTACAACACACTATGGAATCTGCATGTAAAATTTCACTTGCACAAAACCAAATTGCCCAAACTAGAATCTGACCAGGGTGTAGTACATAACACACTTATTCACCCAAAGCTTAGTAACGAGCAAAAGATTTGTCAGGCCCTCAGCCACACACATCATCTGAAAAGTGATGGTTTTGGCAGTGCATTGTCCCCATACATCCTGCCATCACCAGCTCAACATTATCAAGAGAAGCAACAATTACTGATCCACATGCACATAATTTTCTTTTTTCCTCCAGTGTTTTATTCTCCACTGCCATAGGGGAGTGCCAGCATGAAACACCACTATTGCCATCAACAACCATCCTATACTCCTTTGGCTCATATGCAAGTGATATCAGTGGCAATAGGCAGGGATGTGGCAGGGAATAAATCTGTGTGTCTTCCCAGTTTCCCCATTGATTTTCCCAAGGCCAGCCCTGTTTCCTTGTGGACAAGCACACAGCCCAGGCTGATAGAGCTGTCAGTACAAGTTACAAGGAAGGTACCCCCAGAAGCATGGTAGGACCTTTAGAGACAGGTACAATAGCAAAGCCCCTACTTGGAAGATCTTTAGAGCTTATGAGCTACAGGGCAGCTACTCAGTACACACAAGCAGTCACAGTAGTTTCCAGAAGCCACCCTGCTCTATGTCCCATAAAATACAGCTCCCAGTACTAAAAGTTAAGTGTGCTCATAAGCTTTTGCACAACTGGGACCTGACCAGCTATTCCTACACCACTGAAATTAACTGGCAATGCAACACTTCACTGCCCAAGAGCAAAATAACCTTACAAATGAGGGGAGTGAGCTGGTATGTAACAAAAAGCAAAAAAATGACAGAGAGGGGAACTGCAGGGCTTCTCTCATTACTGCTACAGTTTTAGCATTGATTTTTTTTTTAATGGCACACTTCACTCTTGCTCTTGCTGTCATGTCAATATTATAGATACAACAGCAAAGGGAGGTCTGAGCCCCCTGGAAAGAGTTTCTTTTAAAGAAAGGCTCAAAGGACAAACCAAATCTATTGCATTTGACCCTTGATACAGATGAAGTGTCAAGTCTTCATGGAAACCCAAGGAGCCAAAGAGCAAAGCAAGACATCCAGGCATCTCTCTCATAATCTTCTCAGAATTTGCAAAATGCATCAGGATCCATTTGTAAGGCACCATATGGCATGCCCTGTATTTAGTCCCAAACATTTTATAAATTCATAAGACAAATGCTATGCTGTTGTTTTGGAAACAAGTTTTCACACTTTTCACCCTATTTCCCCTCTAAGATTGACACGAAATCCTATTTGACATGGAGTTTAGGTTTCATAAAAAGAAAAAACAAAACAAAACTTAAATCCCTCTCATAACTGTATCTCAAATATTGACAGTGTTAACATTGTAGCTGCAAAACAGCCTCATGGTCTGCAACTTGGCACAACCAACCTTGTGCCTGATCATCAAAAGAGACAACAGAAATCACCCAAAACAAATTGGTGACCAGGCAGGTTGCTTACATGGTGCATCACACCAGACTCCTTTCAGAAAGGCTGGTCATCAGGACCCAGGCCAGATTCCAGGTGTGCATTACACTGAAGACCTAGCTGATTACACAGCAGTTACCTGTATCTAACAAGGTTTACCAGGATTTTAAAAAAAAGTAAATAAATCTACTCACCAACAAATTAGGGCAATTCAAGCATTCATTTGCATTTGAAGCCACCACAGAAACATGTAATCACCTAACCAAAGCATCAGGCTCCTTTGCACCATAGAGCACAATGGCAAAAAGCACCATAAATACTCCCTTTGGGGACAAACACCCCAAGTTTCACATGAAACATAGTCCCTATCTTAAAAGGGAGTTAAGAGTCCATAATATTTGCAATAATAGCATCACACATTTATATGCTAAAGGGCACCCAGAAGTGAACTTAAAGCACAGGTATAAGTGCTTCCTTCTCCTCTTGCTGCACTGCAGCAAAGGACTGTGGCAGTTGTTTAATAGCACATAACAAAATTGCAGGACTGCTCATGGAAGGAGAAATAATCTTTAGGAGGGGGGGAAGTTAAGTAGGCAGAATGCAATTACCTAAATTGAAATTTGGTGGTTAACGACCTCATGCTTACAAAAATTACTACATAGTCCTTAACGATCAGAGCTTCCATTTTAAGTCTCATTGACAGTGCTCCCATAAAAATGATCATGAAGCTCATGGCCTAGTAGAAAGTCAATGAGAAGATTAAGAGGCTTTTAATTAACACCCCATCTTTTTTGCTGAATCTTCAGGAAGACCCAGGTGTTGCCCTGCAAGAGCAACTCACCCTGTCTCTGCTTGGCATGCAAATGCTGGAGGCACAACAGCCCAATATAATACAGATGAAAAAACTTCAGAAGGGGAAAAAACACATAAATATATATCCTGCATTTGACTTTCATAGAAGCATCCCTTGCAAGGGGGCCAATTTCCAGCCAGGAGCGAGTCATCTGCCACCAAGCCATGGAACTATATCATTTCTATGACACTAGCAAAAAAAACCAACAAAACAAACCTTCATGGTGCAAAAACAATTCTTCATTTGAAAAATTATGGAAACTACTTACTGCATGATCCATTCAAAATCAGAACCTTAGGGGTGAAGAGGAATCAAAGGAGGAGCTCAGCTCTCTCCACTCAGTCTCTGCTTTTCAATCTCCTAACTTCATACAGCTGACCTGAAATCACAGGTCTGAAACAACTCTTCCAAAAGGTTTCTGGCAGCCCCACCGTTGCCCTTCATCTCCCCAAGTCATATGTAGCCAGGTGTAATGTCATCAACTGGTGATTGCATGAGGCTTCTTCCTTCCTTCTTTCCATAGCTTCTGCTATGAAAAAATCCTTTTTACACTCAAATACCATGCATGTATGAGGGTTAAAACACAAGTAACATTCAAACACTAAGATGGGCATACAGTATCAAGCTTATTCAATACCACAGCTGTAATACATTAAAACAAGCTCCTTGCTGTACACCAAAATGGGGAAACTGTTTTGCCTGACCTTTTAGCCAAAAATAGGGACATGCTTGGCTCTTCTTCCACCCACAGGCTCCTTCCCTCATTCAAGAGCAAATCTTCATTCCAAACCTAGACCATTAGTCTTCCCTCATCCAGCCTTTGCATTGAGGTACAAATCTTTCATGCTTTACTGTGAGCCCACCACGTGCCAGGACAAGATTTGCAGGATGAAATAACCAGCACAGACACACATTGATTGAAAAGCAATGTATAATTCAATATGAAGTTTTAAAATTTTAAGGAGCAGCCAGTAGAAAAGACAACAGAAAACCTGAATCTCCAACAAGTTTTCAGTCACAACCTGTGCTTGAGACCACAACATCTTTTTAAGAGCTTCTGAACTTTAAGACAAGAGCTCAGAGCTGAAACTCAAACCTTTTCCTACGCTTGACATTGAAACAAATCTCCAGATTCATCAGCTGCCTAAGGTCATCTGTTATTGTTGACAGCACCTCAAGATTTCACCTGAGGTTTGACTCTTGAAACTGAAAAGGCTCTTAAGAAACATTTTGTGAGTCTCCACTGTGTGGCCAGACACTCAGATTTAATCCACAAGTCAAAACCATAACAAGCCTCTTTTATAGACAACATCCACCTAACTAGGAAGTAAGATGCTCCAGGTAGAAAGTGTGACCAGTTGAGACTTTAGTCCAGAAGAAGGTTTAAATAAAACTTTACACCAACATCTTCAACGATTCATCACCTCCTTCACTTTCTCCCCATCTGAAGGGTCCCACAATCCAAAGAGCAGCTGTTGCCTTCCCCCTGTTTTTTATATTGCATTAGGCTCAAGAGCCATGGAGGTGATGACTTCCTAGAGGCCTCAGGGCTAATGAGCTGGTCAGGTGGCCATCATTTGCCCTGCTGAGTTGCAGCAATCTTCTTGTAATCAAGGCACTAGTGTGAACGGTGACACGTGTGTGTTTGCTGACCTCCTATGCAAAGGAAGGACATGCTCACATCCCAGAGGTCTCTCTCGGGACATGCGAGGCTCAGCATCAAACTCTGAACAGATTCCCATTCACTCCTGGCCAGACATCACAGCGAGACATTGGCCAGACAGTGACGTTGCGCTGGTTGGAAAGGCAAAGGGTGACCTAGGTATCCTTGCAGTCAAGATCCAGGAGTGGTGGTTCCCTAACCAAGGGCAAGATGAGGTGTCACCAAAGCCTGTGTGCTCAGAGGAAGGAGACACCTCTGCCACTCATGGTACAGGCCAGTGAGCTACTGGGCTAGTGGCTACCAACCTGTCCCAGGGCAGTGATGAAATTGGAACTGGGAAGGGGAAGAACAGGAACAGGCCTTTCTAAAATACATCTCCTCACCCCCTTTCCCCTCACCCACCCTGTGATTGGGACTGCCAGCAGCTCTCTCTGAAGTCTCCTCTTTCATAATCAGCTTCTTTTGATCACACACTAAAACAGCTGAGGTTCTGCCTAAATGCAAGCAGGGAATAAAGCAGGTCATTAAATATGTAGGAAATGTCATTCCTTACCTGCCAGGTGCCCCGGGAGGGCAGGGAGAGGGAGAGATGGGGCAGGAGGGAGCGAGAGGCGGGGAAGAAGGGGAAGCTCTGAAAGGATATGGGTTGCACACCATTTTGATGCACCAGTTCCGTGGGCTGGTAGTCTGTTTCAAGCAGAAGAAGACAACTGGTGCCAAGTCGGGGTAGGGAACATCAGGATCCGGTGGGGAGGTGACTTCCTCATCCTCACCCAGCTCTGGAGAGGGCGGCAACTGCTCTGGTGGTGTTTGCTGCTCTGAGACCCCCAGATCCACTGGCTCCAGTGGGCAGACAGCAGAGGCATGAGGACGCTGTGGGCCCATGGGCCAGGTGGAGGGAGGCTGGGGGACGTACTCTGCCATGCCAGCCGCAAGCCAGAACCCCTGGGGAGAAAGAGAAATGAAACCCACATGAGGAATCAGCAGCAAGAGCACAGCATGCTGGTGCTCTCCCAGAGAGTTTGGAGTCGGGGAGAGCTGCAGGACTGATGGCTCTGACAAATTATAAACCACGGTCACACTTGGTGCTGAAGCAATTTTAAGCAAAACTCTTTTCTGCCAGTCCCTCCACCAAGACTTCTGGCTAGTCCTCTCTATGACTGTTACTCAAATCATCCCTGTAGCCCCTGAGACACCCTGGCACACTGCTGCACCTCCTCAGGTGATGGTCCCATCTCTTCTGGAGCCAGACTGAGCACCTTAAAAGAGCACTGTGCTTTGGAGTGGCATGGACATATCCTGACACAACACAGCCACCTTACCCTCACAGTCCCTTCCATGGCCCTGCCAACCCCAAGTTCAGCTCTGCAGAATGTTCAGAGAGTGCAGGTGGGTGTAGGAAGAGCAGAAGAACAAGTCTCATGGTTGGTGGCACCCAAGTACTGCAGAGCACCATGCTTTTGCATAAGAACACCACTTTGTTAGCTGGGTGCACATAATGTTGGTCTTACTCCAGGAAAATGCAAAGCCACATATTGTCCATTACACAGAACAGTGGAAGTTGCTTATCAAAGTGAGGGGAATGAAATAAAGTCCAAGGCCTGTATTTGGAGGTGTAATAACAGGGACACTCTTAGGAAAGAGAGCTTGTCTAAGGACTGCCTGACAGTGACCTGCTGGGCACTTTCCTCCCTTCACCTTGTGCATGGAGCGCCCATGCTACCAGTACAGGTTTCAAAGCAACACAGGAGTCCTCAGGCACACTGCAATACAGAATGGAGCTGGTCACAGCAGGAAAAGATGTGTCTGTCACCAGGATCCATGGCACAGATCTCATCTCCTCACACCCTAATCATAGTTTATCCTCCCAGAGTCTCAGCTCAAACCCCTTCACTTCAGCATCACACACCCACACATATCTCTGATGCTGCTGCTCTGCCTCGATGTGCTGCACCCTCGACGTTTCAGCCCCTTTGATGCTCACACTGCTGGATCCATGATCTCCAGTGCTCTCTGCAGCATTCATCTGCCAGGTTCAGGCAACTTTTCCCTCCTAGGCTGCAGTTTCCTGTTATCCCCAGTTAAGACCATGCAAGTTCTGCCTACTCACCCTGCTCTTTCAGCCCCTGATCCAAAGCTTTGCTTGTTCTTCAAGGCTTGGTATTTGTCAGAGCAAAGGGCAGCAAGCACAGAGGTTTAGAAAGCAGATACAGTGTCCCTTAGGGGATAGCACTGACACTCTTTGAATTCATTACCCCAAAGACCTGCAGCTATTACAAATAAACCAGTATTGTGTCTCCTGACTGGCTTGGGGATGCTGTTCATTATTTTTTTAACCCCTGTAACAAAAGTGGCAGCACTTCCTGCCACTTCCCACCACTCCTTCCCACCATCCAGCACCTCTGTTTTCAGTATCACCACGTTTTTAACCCTGAGCACCCATGCAACTCCTTGTACCACTCTTCCATTCCCTATTCCCACCACCTCCCCACTGCTCTGTGCTGGCTCCCTTGCAGGTGGCTGAGCTCAGTTGCTTTCCTATTAACAACACGGAGGAGAAAGGTTAGCAGGGACAGCCAGGAGGAATGACTTATTGCAGTGCCCAGAGCATCCACACTGACGAGGGCATGACAATTCCAAACTGTGATGTAGAAATCTTTATAATTAACAATACAAGAAAGCAAAGCAATGGGAGAAACCACCTAATCAGCATTTCCCTGCTTTCCCTCCAAGCAAGTGTTGAGGGCTTCTCCATTTCATCACTCCCAAATCCACCTGGGACTTCAGGGTGCAGCTCTGCTCATGTCAAACACCTGTGCACAAATAGGGTAGTGGCTTATCACTCAAATATGTGTATCCCAGAGTGACTCAATAGATGTCATATGGATGCAGAACCAGGTGAATCCTTTTGGGAGTCCAGAAGCAAAATACAGCCCTTAAATTACATCTGCCCAATTGGACATGTAATACCCCTATCCTTTTTGAGAGCAGATCCTGCTCTGCCACCCAAACCAGCCCCAAGGCTGTGAACATGGTGTACTTTGTACATTAAGCAGAATTAATATGTCATGTCAAAAGAGGGAGAGGGAAAACCCAAGCAGTGAGGAACTTCCAAGCTCTTTATGTCAGCCAGTTCTGCTGTCTCAATGTGAAAGGGGAAGGGAATAATTTGCCTGCTGGAGACAGATCCAAGATCCTCACCAGTAGCAGCTCAGATCTTAGATTCATAGAATCAAAGAAGGTGTGGATTTGGAATAAACCTTTAAAGGTCATCCAGTACAGTGCCCCCTGCAGTGCACAGAGATGGGGAGGTTGGAATCAGATATTTCCATTCTTTTGGCCAGGCTGCAACTAAGCAATGCTAAAATTTTCTCTGGGTTGCAATTATTGGTCTGCCCATGCTGTAGCATTGCCATGTAACTTGGTCAGAGTGAGTCTGCTACAATATTTCAACCCAGGAGAGGCTCTATTTAAATCAAAGTGACCAAGTGGAATGAGTTGGCACATGCACATGTACATATGCAGAAAACGGTGCATCAGCAGAAAGGGTTCATACCCAGCTAAAATAAGACCAGACAGGATTAAAAGGCCTCAAAGCTTGCCTTTGGGATGCTCCCAACCTCCCCTTTGCACAAGCACTGCTTACTGTGACAAGGGCAACACAAGAGAACAATTAGATGGTCACAGGTTGGCCAGGTGCACGTTCTTCCTATTCAGCCTATCCCCAGCTGGTGGTGGCAGGTCAGACCCACCAATGAAAATCAAATCCTCCCCATTCCTTACTTTCCTTTTCTAGCCAAATGCCCCCCAAATGCATGAAAACCCTCCCCTCTGCAAGTCTCATATCGCTGGAGGAGCGATGCTACCCCTGCTGCACCTCCCCCCAAGGGAAAGGATGGTATTTGTGGGCTCCTCTTCCTGCACAGCCTGCACCAAAGCTTTCCCCAGGGTCAGGTCTTAAGTCTGCACTCCTCTGTTCATCCCTGAGGGCCATTTAAAACCATCACCATCCCAAGCCAAGCCCCTGCTGGTCCTGCATCTGGCACACACGCCTGCCTTGGACACGTGCGTTGGCAGGGAGCTCCTCAACTTGACAGGCAGGGATGAAGGCGCCAGCCTCTGGCTCAGCCCTTCCCCACCTCAGAGAGAGCACCTGGTCCTGCTGGACGGCAGGTTTTGTGACTTGGCTGAGGAAGAAGAGGGAAGAATACTCTGCAAAGAAAAGGGAAGTCATGGATTTCACAAGCAGGGGAGATTGCTTGGGAGAAAAAGAGAAGATGTCATGATTCAGGGGAAGCACTTCAGATTGGAGGTATCTGTCCCTACAGGCCAGTGTCACCTGGCACGTGTGACAAGAGTGCTATGAGTAAGCAAGACCAAGGTGTCCTTTAGGCATTACCCCCCATCCGAAGCAGGCTCCTAGTTCCTCAGCATCCCTCCCTGTCCCCAGAGACTGGCCATCAGTGGGCCAGTGGGTGAGGGACAGCTGAAGGGACTTTTGCACTGCTCATGCAGACCTTCCTGAAAACATCTAAAGTGCAGACAGGATAGGAGAGACTATTGCATCTTGCCAGTGAAAGAGTTTGTGACAGCCAGACAAGAGAGGGAAATACTAGAGAGAGGTCCCCAGAGCACCATCCCAGTGCTGGAGGCAATCTACCCAGAGCTCAGCGGGACATTCCCTTCCCATGAGGGAGCACCCACAGACTTCACCTGCCCTACCACCATCCTTAGCCTCACACCTCTCAGCATCCCTGTCCCAGGGCCATCCCTTCCTCCCTGCACACTGCTCTCATGGGCAACACCAAGGCCTCCAGCTGAGAGGAAAGCACAGAGTATATTTCCTTTAAGAGCAGCTTTACATGTATACACACCTCCCATCCTGAGGGGACACAAGTCTTGTGCAAACCATCCATCGTGATCATTCACAGATTACTGTGAAGCAGCAGGAAGCACGGGAGCTGTCCTGTCCTGCTAACACCCTGCAACACCCTCTGAGAAGAGGAACAAAAATTACAACCTCCAGCTGGCATCACAGGGAAGGATGGCAAGATGGCCCCATCAATGGGAACAGCACCTGTGGTGCACGTGCTTCTTTATCATCTCCAAAAGTCTATCTGAAAGTTGACAGGCATCTTGGGGCACAGCTCTTGCAGCCAGCTTCACACAAACCCAGACCCATTTAAGGACTTCTCTGGCTGCGTGACATGTCTATGAATGCTCATGGGTGACCCCATTCGGTAGCTGTGTGTGCCTCCCGGGGTGGTCTGTTGCACACGGTTGTCAGCCCGTGTTTGTTTGTTGCTATAAATGGCAAGTGCCAGTTATGTGTTATCTTTGATGCATGTGTCTGGCTGTGAGGATGTGTTAGTCAAACAGGTTTTGTGATTTCAGCATTTGCCGTGGTACAATGTAATCAGTGGTAGGTGGCTCCCTCTGTGTTGATATTCAGCTGGTGTGTTTCTCTGCCTGTTCATGTGAGGCTGAGCCTGTCCTTGTGTGCCTGTACGTGCGTGGAGGTGTATGGGTATGGGGTAAGGAACAGGGTCATTTTTATTAGGAGCTAAATTGAAAAAGGAGCTTTTACATCTCCATCATCTTAGCACCTCCTAATGCAACAGGATGTGGCAGAACCCGGCAGAAAGGATTTCATATGGCAACCAAATCCATCCTTCACAGGGGTTGAAATGCCCATGCACCCCTGAAACATGCCATCCACAGCCTGCACCAGAGCCAGG